ACCAAACATTAAACTAATTTTCAATGGTACAGTATATTTATTCAAGTAGTGGCATTCCAAACTCTCACGGTAGTACAGCATTTTATGCTAATTCCAAGCTTTCACAGTGGCACATTTTAAGTTTAAAATCTCGACTCAAAAGTGCATAGTTCCAGTGGCTTCCTAATAACGGAGGGAAACTGCGTTCCAGACGGCCCTTTCAGTTGATAAAGTTTGAGCAACACAGGTTATTGATCACGGGTTGATGACACTGCAAAAGAGGAGTTGGAGACGACCCAACCACCGCGTCTCAAAACTCACGGCCCACTCTGACGAGCGGCGGGGAAGAGACCCCGACGGGAGCAAGTCCGTAAAACGGAGACGGAGCCGTGAAATGTGATCTGTGCAGGAACGGGGAAGAGTTGTATCATCGAGACGGACTCGGAAGAATCGGTTTGTCGAAAATGTCCATCCCTGATTTTTTTTTTACGCATTCTGATTTTGACTTCTAACGTTTTCGCTGCTTTTGTTTAAATTAAAGTAATTCGAATGATCCTTTCCCGTGGTGTGTTCCCATGTATCGTCGCAATATTAACGACGACGATGCATGGACGGTTTGGTGAATAACGAATGAGCCGTGGATATGCGAACAGATGACGGCGAATACATTCGTCTAGAGACTTAAATAACCATTGTGGTGTCCACGCACGTGGCCTGAAATCTGTCCCTGTGGAGGCAGCAGAGAGGGTTGGTAGATCCGATTAGCGCGGTTGGCTACGTACGGTGCACATGTGTCCGTATGTATGACTAGGCGTACATTCCTGATAATTTCACAACATTTGTGCAGCGTGTGTATGTATGTATGATGACCGCTTGTGTATATGCACATTTTCTGAAATGTCAAATTTAGTCTTTTTTTTTCTCAAGGCAGGGTATGGCTTTACCTCGAAGCCTCCGGGTAGAATGGGTGTTGTAACAGATGGATATTAAGTCCGCACTTTCCTGTGACACCTTTTCAAACCAAGGCAGGGTAATGGGGCACCACCGTGACGCCTCCAGGTAGGATGGGAGTTTCTCAACATCCTGTGGTGTGCGATTCGCCCAACGCCCCAAGTGCTGAATTCCACAATGGATGTTATGCTGCGTTAGATCGCGTGAAAATAAATGTGTCGTAACGCTGAATTCCTTGCGACGCGGGTAGCCACCAGCGCCGACTGTGATTGACGGATGTGTTTCTGGTGGGGGGGCGGTGGGTGGGTGGGATGTTTGTGTTTGTGTCAACGCAATATGTGGGGGGCCGGGGGTTAGTTGCTATCGTTGTTGTTGTTGTTGTTGCGTGGCTGTGTGTTAAATATAAAAACATTTTCCCCATAAACGTGAATCTCAACAGGGGGCAAGACAACGATGGCCTCGTGGTGACGGATCGTCGGCGAATGATGCGGAAAACTCCAGCAGCAAAAAATAATAATCACATTTTTCGCACATCACTCGGCGGTCGATGTTCAAAGCGGACCGCGAACCTCAAAGGATATGCGCCGCCCTCCGTGATCACCCCCCCCCCGCCCCCCCCCTCTACTTCCGTGATCCGTGGATCAAAATAAATCACCCGAGACCCCGGTAGCGAGAGCACTTGATGCGAACGCTGCCGGCAAGAGGTCACACACCGAAGTCACGCAACAGTCCTTCGCGGACTACGCGCGATGAACGACGGAACGACCTGACGACGGGCGCAGCCAGGGCGCGTGCTGAGCGACCTCAATGGTAGAGGGGAGATTTCGGAATCCAAAGACACTCCTAGTCCAGCGTTGCCACGTCCCTAAAAAAGAAGAACGTTGCTACATATATCTAAAAAAATTTTTATCACATAAGGCCCACTGAGCTATGTAGCTTTTTTTTTCAGAAGCAACCTAGTCACAAATGATAGCTCAACGAAGTGGCTTATCATCGTGTGGAAATTTATAGCAACCAAATACTCCAAATGCGTCATGTTGATTCTAAATGTGGAGGGAAAAGCCGGAGGACCCGGAGAAAAATCCACGCGACCACGGGGAGAGAGAGAGCGAGAGAGACACGCAAACTCCAAATAGACAGCAGGCGTCATGGTCGGGATCGAACCCACGACCTCTTGTATACCAGGCGAGGTAGTTAACATCTAGCCATCGTGATGATGATGAGAGAGCGAGAGAGACACGCAAACTCCAAATAGACAGCAGGCGTCATGGTCGGGATCGAACCCACGACCTCCGGTATACTAGGCGAGGTAGTTAACATCTCCTAGCCATCGTGATGATGATGAGAGAGAGACACGCAAACTCCAAATATACAGCAGGCGCCAAGGTCGGGATCGAACCCACGACCTCTTGTATACTAGGCGAGGTAGTCGGTCTTCTTCTTGGCATCAACACTCATTAAGCATTAAAGCCATTCGACCCAAACTATGGGCCGTACATTAAACCTATATAGACTCATAGAGACGCATAGAGATACAAAGAGACGTACAGATATACCTATAAATACATGGACATAGATTAAAGACAAGCCACAGTAGTGCAGTCGTGACCATGTAACCCACACTATGGACCATATAGTAAACCACTCTAGTTGGCGCTCCTACAACGGAGGGGGAGGAGGAACAGCGTTAAGCTCCTGAACGTATCGCCGATGCCATCGTGCGCAACAAGGGACTGGAGCGTGCGAAAAGCCACGCTTGAATATCGAGGTTGGCGTGCCACGTGACGATCAACTGCTGGCCGAATGTCTGACGACGCCACGACGATCGTGCGTCGGCCTCGTGATTCCATCTCGCCGCTGTCCGGTTCAGGGCCGGGGAAGGCGACATGCGCTAAGCACCTGGCAACGACGCCGAGTTCGCTTTGCCGGTCGCAGCCACCATCGGTGACGGATATCTGAGTCGACAAGCGAAGGAATGCCACAATTCAGCAGCGTAATGATACTGGAATTAAAACGATTGCGTTAATTAGCAAGAACGCCACCGGTCAAACTCCACCCACTGTGGCGCGCCGCTCCCAATCCACATTCGATCGACCGACTCCACCTCGGCGGAGTATTCCAGCATCAAGTGAACAACCCTTCAAGAAGCACGCCGCGGGCAACTCTCACCCACCCACACAACTCCCAGCGCCTCCAACCCTCGCAAATCTCCAAATGATCTCTAGAGCCGACCCATCCCATTTACCCATCCCACCCACCCCCTCCTCCCGTCCACCCATTCCCACCAGCATCTTCTTAGATCGGGTAGGTATAAATAAATAAATGCGTCGTAAACCTCCACCACCCGACACAGCCAATTAGTAAGGGATTTGTCACGTAAACAAAACGCCAAATAGTTACTATTTCAGCCCACCGGTGTGTTGGAGAGTAAATCCACAACATTTATAATTTGAGTACTTACTAAATGGCTGTGTCGGGTGGTGGAGGGTTACGACACATTTATACCTACGCGATCTAACCCAAAAACCTTGATTATGAATAATACTGGTCGCAAAAGCCTACGTGTTAAACAGTAGAAGGGCCATTGCCCGAAACATCGCCTATCATCTATTTGTGCGTTGTTTAGGCCACGGTGTTACTGAGACGGATCGTGTTGAGTTTGTTGTTGTTGTTAATTGTGCACAACTGCGTTGAAAGGGAATATATCATCGGCGACGTTTCGAGCAACGAAGCGAATTCACGGCGGGTAACCCGTCGCCGTGAGTCGGAGTGATCGAGTGTGCGAGGAAAGGTCGCAGACGATTAAAAGAAATGCGACCGCGCAGTTGATGCGGGAGAGGGCGCCAGCTCATTACAGGAATCTTCAGGATCGTAAAGCTTATTCGGAATTTTAAGACGCACCCCAACTCCCCCCTCCCATAAAAGAGTGTGCCCCGCTATCAATACAGTTATTTGACAAACCTGTTCACTCACAAACACAGCTACCGGATTATAAGACGCACCTCCAAATTCGTGTCCCGGTGTCAATAAAGTTATTTTACAAACCAGTTCACTCACAAACACACGCAGCTACTGGATTATAAGACGCACCTCCAAATTCGTGTCCCGGTATCAATAAAGTTATAATACAAACCTGGTCACTCACAAACACACGCAGCTACCGGATTATAAGACGCACGTCCAAGTTCGTGTCCCGCTATCAATGAAGTTATACAAACCAGTTCACTCACAAACACACGCAGCTATCGGATTATAAGATGCACCACCAAAGTTGTGTCCCGCTATCAATAAAGTTATTATACAAACCAGTTCACTCACAAGCACACGCAACTACCGGATTATAATACGCACCTCCAAGGTTGTGTCCCGCTATCAATAAAGTTATTATGCAAACCAGTTCACTAACAAACACACGCAGCTACCGGATTATAAGACGCACCTCCAAATTTGTCCCCCGCTATCAATAAAGTTATTATACAAACCTGTTCACTCACAATCACACGCAGCTACCCGATTATAAGACGCACCCACCCACGAACTTGTGCTTAAAATGGCATGGGGGGAAAGTTCGTCTTATACTCGCCGATTTGTAACACGCCATTGTCCTCTGTGGAGTGGTGGGCATAGTGCAGTGAACTTGCGCGATCTGGGTTCGATTCCTGGGCCACGGCTAACATCAGTGGCGAGTGATATCTGACCAGGTCCCGAGTATGTCTTTCCCGTCACTGGATTGTAAACCCATTTCTGTGCAACTGCTTGTGTGCGTGTACCGTAGCTCGTCGTCCTGCACCCGCGCCTCCGATGTCCACAGGTGGCTAACGTCCGGTGCGAAACAAGTTCAACGTACGGTACCGTACGTACATGGACCGAGGTGGTGAAGTATGGACAATTGGTGGAGCAATTCTAAGGGCCGACGCGACGATGGGAGGGAGAGAGAGGCGATAATCCAGCAGAGGATTGTAAGTCACAAACATGCGAAGTCGTCCTGTGTCAATCGCCCCGTGATTATGAATACGCCTGTCATCATCATGTCGGGCATATGTCAGTGTAGTTGGGCTGCACACCAGATGTTAACTTAAAAGCCACGTTTATTATTTTTCAGTGAACACATCACGGCACGGGCATAAAAACGCAAAATAAACCTTACAAATTAAATAAATACATTTTTTACAAAGCGTTGCCTTGTCTCACTCCGGCCGTCCTCGCCCCTCTCCACATTGGCAATCCGATAAATAATCGATTCACGGTTACTTAACAGCTACGTACGCTAACTTGGGAGTGCGCTCACGCAGCCACGTGACCTATTCGCCTTTACGCGAGGGCTGCGGCGACAGACGGACGAACGCGTGGGTGCACGCGGTGGCGCAGCCACAGTCGAGGCAGCCGGTGGCATTCCAAGGCAAGGGGGGTTTCGGTGGATCCACGCAAGGAGTCGCGAAGCCCCCAGAGCCCCGCTGGGCCACGCGCGGAGGGTGGCCACGGCAGTGGCGTCAGCGGAGGAGGGTTCATGAACCCGTCTGTGCGACGCTCTCTCCAGCAATGGCAAAAGCACGAGGCGTCTCTCTCGTTTGTGCAACTTGCGAGTTGATATCACGAAGCAAAGGCGCAGCCCTGAAATTGTTCACACCCACGTCACTGCTGGAGGAAGAGGCCTTCACTAGAGGGAGCTAAACAGAGCAGAGCCCCCTCTCCCCCCCCCCCCCCCCCCCCCCCCACTCTCGGAGAGGGTACTTGGCCTACTCTTCCACGTTGGCCAGACGTCCTGGAGGAAGCAAGAGTAGCCACATTTTACCACACGAGAAAAGTTGCTGATCGATTCACTCTGGGAGTCACAATACGGTATATGAATTAAGTCCTGTACATTGAAATAGAAATGCATGCGAGTGTAAGGTCGGGCGACGTGATTCTATGGAGTTATGCAATGAAAAGCGTATGATCGCACGAAATACAATGCGAGTCGATGCAAGTTTAACCGACGCAGTGTCATGTGAACCAATGCAACGTGAACGTCATGCAATGTGAACGTCATGCAATGTGAACGTCATGCAATGTGAACGTCATGCAACGTGAATCGACGCAATGTGATCCACGCCGGGCGGTGGGTGTCCATTTCTCGGTGGGGTGAAGCGACCCCGCTGGGTCACGCCACCTCCGACGACCCGTCCTCCTGGGAGCCCGCGACACCCGGGTTCGAGTCCTGGTTGCGAACCTCCCGATCCTTCTCCTCTTCCTCCTCGTCATAGTCGAAGCCGACGTTTGTGAAACCGCCTCTGGGCGCGGGCTGCAGTCGAGCGCGCACCTCCTCAAACATCGTCAGCACCTGCGCGAAGATAAAGACAAAAGGGCCCCCCGCCGTGTAGTCTACATAGAATGTTGGGTCAAGTGCTCTCGGTGAGCACTTTGGAAGGCCGTCACAGCGCACGAGGGGGTGGGGTGGACGGCAGCACCATGACAGCCCGACCGGATTTGTCTCGCCAGTGCCGATGTTTAGAGGTATTAATAATTGAGGCCGAGTCGACCTAGGGGATGTGCAAGATCGGGTGAGAGATACGTTTGGCTGCGAGCGGGGTATCAAGTTCGAGTCGCCGGGGTTCGTGGCACAGTGCGCCAACCGCTGCGCCACCACTCCCCACACACAGGCAGACACATCCACATGTTCGGTAATCGCGCAGTGACATCGTCGGTAAGAATATTCTCTTTAATCATCATCATCATCCGCGATCAATCTGCTGCTGAATGAAGGCCTTCCCAATGCCGCTGCCATCTCTCACGTTTCACGCGATGCGATGATCGGTCTAGGACTCTAGGCATTGCCTCGTGACCTTGGAGCATCGCGGGAGAAATCCGCGGCAGCCGCGCGCTCCGAGTAGACGTCCGCGGAAGCCGCGGTGTGCTCACCTTGGACTTGGGCACGAGGCCGACTCTGAAGAACTTGAGGGCGCCCTCCTCGATCTTGGTGCAGTCCACCACGGTGGAGGCGATGTTCTCCGGGGAGGGGCCATCGCACAGCACCCCGTCCACCTGCATCATCATCGACATCATCATCGTTGTCATCATTGACATCATCATCGACATCATCATCATCGTCGTCATCATCAGCATCTATTCAATCAAGAAAGTCTACCGGTACCACCGCCGCCACCACCACCATAATCATCAACATCACCGAGTCAGTCAAGGGAGACTACCACTACAACCATTGTCATCGTCGTCAAGACTGCCACCATCATCGTTGTTATGGGAGCCTACCACGACCATCACCATTTCTAACTCCATCAAATCAACAACGACCATCACAATCGAGTCACACCCCCCCACCACCCCCACCACCCGTACCTGTGCCCCCAGCTTGGCGTACACCTGGTTGTGATGAGTCGTGTCCGCTTCCCCCGTGGGGTTCGCTGACGTCACCGCGATGGGGCCCACCTGGGGGAGGGGGGAGGGGGCACGGGACCCGCGTCAGTGGGGGGGAGGGGCGGGGATCGGAGGGAGGGAATTTGGGGATCAGGGGGAGGGGCGGGGTGGTTAAAGAGTGGGGGAGTGGGGGGGGGGGTGAGTGGGGGGGGAGCACGCAGAGAGAATGCGGGGGGGGGGGGGGCGGGGGGCGAGGAGGAGGGGAGGAGAAGGAGCAGGGGATGGGGGAGTAGGAACGAGGGAGGGAGGGCGTGGGGTGTCAGAGTGGGAGGCAGGGATCAGGGGAAAGGGATCAGGAGTGAGTGAGAGACGGAGGGAGTGAGGAGGGGATGACAACAGGGAAAGAGGGGATTGGGGGAGCAGGGAGGGAGGTTGGGGATCAGGGGGAGCGAGCGAGGGAGGGAGGGGGGGGCTGTCACCAGGTCGATGAGCTGCGTGGTGACCGTGCAGTCCGGGTAGCGCACCGCAATGCTGTCCGGAGTGCCGATGAGCGACGCGGCGTCGCCCATGCCCAGGCTGTCCACCCACTCCCCTGCTCGGCGACAAAGACAAAGACCCCCCGCGTAGCCTTAGCGGACTCTTGGGGCAAGTGCTGTTAGCGAGCGGCGCCTGCGAAGGCCGCTCCGCTGCTGGGCGAGGCGCACGCAGGGGACGTCCACGGAGGAGATGGAGCGGGGAGGGCGGCTCGCGTGCAGGCGCTGCGTGGATCGTCGCATCGCGAGAAGCCGACAGACGACGACGACTTGGGACTCATGGATTTAGCCGTGGTTAGATCGTGCCCGCTGATGAGTATGCTGCAGCTGATGACGGTTGTGCTGATCGTGATGGTTATGCTGATGATGACGGCGATGCTGATGACGGTTATGATGACGCCGCTGGTGATGATGATGTTTCTGCGCGCGGAGCGGTACCCCTCTTGATGACGAGGCTGACGGACGAGGGCCACGCGGCCTCCATGAGGCCCCAGAGCAGCGGCGAGAAGAGGTGGCGCACCGGCTCCAGCTGCCGCGTGCCCGAGATCCACAGCGACATGGGCCGGTGCTCGGCCTGCTTCTTGCTCCTGCCGAGGGGCGGGGGGGAGCGAGGCGAGGTGAGGGAGGAATGGAAGCCACAAGGTGGTGCACTACTCGCTCCGAGAGTCCCCAAAGGGAGTTGTTGTTCGTCTCGTGTCATGATGCTCACAGCGCGAGGAATGTACCCACTCTCTCTCTCTCTGTCTGTCTCAACTCTCTCGCTCCCATAAGCTCGACTCCTTCTCTCTCCCGACTCTCCCCCTCCTCTTTCTCCCATCTCCACTCTCTCCTCTCTCTCAGCCCCCCTCTACCCCCATGCCACGTGTCTCCCCGCACCTGTACGCCTTCCTCACGGCCTCGGGGCGGTTGCACGCGGCCACGAGCACGTACACGGTGTCCGTGGGCACCCCGCACGTGCCCCCGTTCTTCATGATCTCTGCGGGGGCGGGGGGCAGTGGTCAGGGTCACAGCGCGACGGGCAGGTCAGTAGTAGAACGGGCAGCGCACACGTGCAGAGAGAATGTGTCATCGTCGGAATCTTTATTTAGACTGCACGAGGAATCCGATGAGCTGTGAAGCTCTTTCTCACAGATGTCCAGTATGGGCGGGTCAGCAAGTTACGACATCATCATGACACACTATCGTGATCATGATCCTGATCATCAGAATTATCAGGATGATGATCAGGATGATGATCACGATTGTGATCATCATTCTTATTACAATGGTGATCATCATCCTGATCACTTTCGTGATCATCATTGTGATCATGAGAATGATCACAATCACCATCATGGTGTTATGCGCATAGTGATAGAGTTCACGGTGTCGCTCGCATCTCCTCCCATGTCCATCCCTCCCCCGCATCCCCCACCACCACTCCCTCCCTCCCTCCCCCGGTCCATTACCTGCGATCTGCTGCACGGAGGAGGCCTTGCGCGACGGGAGGTGCGGGCAGGAGGCGTGCGCCGCGCCCGCGGGGCCCCCCAGCTGCATCCAGGGCTTGCCCGCGGGCAGCGCGAAGCGGTGCAGCGTCTGCGCGGAGAGCGACGCCACGAAGCAGTAGCAGCTGACGAGGCCGAAGATGACGGTGACGGCCTCGTCGTAGCGGCGCGGCAGCGCGCCGAGCGCCTCGAGCAGGAAGCTCACCATGATGAGCTCGAAGCAGAGCGCCGACGCGAACCACATCTTGCTGAGGAAGACGGTGCCCAGCGCCACGAACAGGTTGAGCACCATGAAGCAGATGACCCCCGCCGAGAGGTCGAAGCCGCGCTCGCCAGCGGCGGCGAGGCCCGCGTAGCGCGTCACCCCCCAGATGAGCCACATGAGGCTGTAGAACACGAACGCGGTGCTCTCGAGCGTCTTGCCGCGCGAGAACGAGATGGCGCCCGCCGCGAACTGCAGGAGCCCGCCCGCCACCACCACCCAGGGCAGCACCAGCGTGCTCAGGGGCCCGGCCGCTGCGTCCGCCGGCGCCGCCAGCGTCATGCCGAAGGCGGCCAGGGCGTTGCACGCGTGGCCCAGCGACTCGGCGTCCGTGTAGCGCGAGTAGCCGAGCACGGGCGCCGCGGAGTCGTCGGCCCCGGTGAAGAGGTCCGGGCGGAAGCCGATGCGGAACAGCGCCCTGGTGAGCAGGCCCTGGCCCTCGGGCAGCCGGTGCCGACCGCCCGCGAGGTTGAAGAGGCGCACGAAGAAGAAGGCGAGGGCGGCGAGGAAGACGGCGACGGCGGCGCGCAGCGACGCGACCCCCAGGAAGCCGCTCGAGTCGGAGGCGACGGCCACGCAGGAGGCGGCGAGCACCAGGCCCACCGCCACCTCGGCCAGGCTGCGGTCGGCGGCGGCGAGGGACGCGACGAGGAAGAGCACGGCGAGGACGACGGGGGCCGGGGGCGGCAGCAGGGAGACGGAGCCGTCCACGACGCCGCCGCTGTGCCACGCCCAGAGGCCCAGCTGCAGCCCGGCGCCGCTGCTGACGAGCGACGCGAAGGCGAAGAAAACGCCGCCGAGCGCGTCGTTGGAGCGGAACGAGAGGACCGAGACGAGGAGCTGCAGGGCGAAGGCGGCGCCCAGCCACGGCACCTGCCCCCCGCTCAGCTGCGCGGTGATGCCCAGCGCCCTGCAGCCCAGGACGCTGGCCGCGAGCGCGCACGCCGCGTACCCGGCCACCGCCGTCTCGTTGGCGTCTCCCGGGACGCGCTTCCTCCTCCCCGCGGCCTCTCCGCCGCGGGCCCCCTGCTTGTTGGAGCCGGCCGTGCCGGGCAGGCCCAGCGCGCCCCTGCTCAGGTAGTGCGCGATGCGGCCCGCGCCGTAGTAGAGGCCCACCAGGGCCACCACGAGGTAGCTGGCGGCCACCCCGGAGGAGCCGAATCCCGGCGCGGCGGAGGGGCCCGCGTAGAGGAGCGCGATGCGGTGCGAGAGCGCGAAGGCCACCGCGCCCGACATCGCGGCGAGCAGCGCGGGGCCCTTGACGAGGCCCACGAAGCAGAGGAGCAGACAGGCCGGGGCGAAGGCCACGAGGCCCGGGGCCAGGGCCAGCCGCGTGCTCTGCTCGTCGCGGCCGATCGCCCCTTGGCCCATGAGCACCATGATGACCCCCTGGCCGGCCCAGAGCGCCGAGAGGATGAGGCAGAGGTTCACGAAGACCGACGCCTCGCACTGGAGCCTGCGGATGGCTGTGGGGGTTTGGGGGGGGGGGGGATAGCGGATGAGGGCAGCGCAAGGGCAGCGCGGAGAGAACGAGGCCAGCATGGGCAGAATGCGGGCAGTGCAGATAGAGGGCAGCACAGATAGAAAGAGGGCAGCTCCGACAAAAAGCACACGTGTTAACAGCACAGTGCCATCACCGCACACACGGAGTTTTAAAAGTGCGGACTATCTGACCTACTGGAGGTGGTGGGGAGATGTGGAGGGGAGGGGGAATGAATAGCAGGGCTCGATGTTATTTACTAGCAGTCCACGCGTCCTTTGGACATGACAGTCCGTCTGTCCATCTCTGCGCCCTCTATCTCTCCGGTCCGCCAGCCAGCCGGCAAGCAAAACTTTCGTCTGGTATATTATGGGTATGACAATCGCCACAACGGCGCGCATGATGAGACTATGTGGTGACCATTGTAACGCGCAGTTGGAAAAAGAACAGGCTTTCTGGAAAAAATACAGGTGTTAAAATGTTCAAACAGCAAATAGACACACCCATTGCAAAGCATGAACGGCACGTGCTTGTGGTAAAACACGCAATCAAACGTGCTCTTGACAATGTACGCATTTGTCCTTTATGGCCTTGCCTCACCAGTGTTAAACCAGAGAACGCCGAAAGACGACCAGCACAAGCGCAATGCCAATAGGAAAGCACCAATAGCTCGGGTTGAGCAGTCACATCTATGGGACCCTTTTTTGCCGATATCGTGATGATGGAGTGACGCTGCAGTGGATGTGGTTAGACACCAGGTGGCATTGCCGCACACGTTTCTTGCCACAATTTAAGAGGTAAAACGTATACTGCACTTTCTATCTGTATATTTTTTCACGAATATTATTGTTGTTTATTTATATAAAAACGATACTTCACCACTCTGGTCAGTGTCGGTTTGTTAAGTGGGGGGTTTGGGGGGGGAGGGGGAGATATGGATTGAATGGGACAGACGCTGCTGATGTTAGTGATGACTCGCGGCGTTCACAGCGCAGTGCGCCGATCACCGCGCCACCGCTCCATCCAATTTTTTAAATGACTTGTGAACATTGGCTCTTAACCCCTCCCCTCCAAAAGACAAAGATCCCCCGTGGAGCCTTAACAGACGTTTGGGGCAAGTCCTGTAAGCGAGCAGCACTTATGAAGGCCGGTACGGCGCACGACGGGGTGGGTGGCCAGCACCAAGCCACAAACCCTATTGTCCCCCGCAACAGATTTTAGTGGCGAGGGTCAGGGCCTGGCGGGTTGACGGGGCGGTGGAGGGGTGCGGGGGACTGCTCCCCCACCCCAGGCCACTTAAGAGCTTCGCCTGCCTGGCACCCTTCCTGTGACGCTGCCGTGAAGAAGGGGGGAAAAAAAACCCCCACAGTGAAAGCCAATAGGAGTTGAGATTGAGGCTCCGCCGGCGTGGCCAGGGCAACATGTAAACGAAAGCCATGTAAATGTGTCTACATCTAAATGAGCCAAATCCTCCCGTAAATCACGTGGCTTGTGTGTGGCCACCCCCCACTCCCAATCCTTCCCATCTCATATATACGCACACTATCTATTTCTAAACTAGCTCAAGCCTCCCGTAAATCACGTGACTTAAGTAGCCCCCTCCCCCCACTCAGAATCCCTCCCCTTTCCCCGCCGCCCACTGTGAAAACAGACGCCGCCCCGTGAAGCAGAAGTAGCAGAAGCATCGTCGAGGCCCCGATGTAGCCTCCTCCTCCCCATCCTCATCTCTCCTGACCCTCTGCTCCCGTTTCTCCTCTCATTTACCATCCTATTCCTGTCCAATCGCATTCTGCTGTCTTCTCCGTCCCATTCCTTCTCTCCGTTTCCACGGATTACAACTTCTTGTGACCCGACTCCCCTTCCCGTGGTGCGGCCACGGTTGCAAAGCGTTTCTCGTGTGTGGGAATAATGTGGGGGGGGGGGGGGGGTACGGATGGAGTCGACGTTCGAGGATCGGGTTCAGGTTAAGGGACAAAGTGCGGTGAGAAGCTTGGGATTAAGGACAGTTTGGATTTAAGACAGTTCTAAGAACATACATAATGTAAATTGTGTTACCGGTAATAACAATAGTTTCATTTTATACTGCGTCATTCTTGCTAACAGTAGTGTCCCATAACGCTATGCATTAATTATATTGAAAGGACCAAATCCCATAATACAGCCGCTACGAAGCAAATGAAAACCCGACTACCAAGAAAAAAAAAATCCAAAACGAATGAATTAATTAAGAAATGGGGACAAAAAAAAGCACTAAAATAAAAAATAAGTTATCAAAACAAAGAAAAAGTTATTCATAAGCCACGTGAATGGCGGTGGTGGGAGTGCCGATTGCGTTGTGGGGGGATAAAGGGGTGGGGGGCGTGTCTGGGTAGGAGCCGACCAATCCGAACAACCAGTTTGCGCAACTTGGTTGCGTGCAATTGCATCGCTTACGTGTGGGCATCTCTGCAACTAGTTGCGCAATCGATTGCTGCCGCGTAGGCAGCCGACTTCGATGTGTAAGGGCATCGATCTGCTCAGCGATTTTCCGCGACGCATCTCAGCACGTGTTGCACATTTGCCAGCGAATAGGAAATGCCATTTTTTGACATTTTTTTGCGCAAATACTCGCTCAGTTGCGCGCGATTAACCAAGGTCGCCCGCGCGATTTCGGTTGCGCAACCGATTGCTGCTCGGGTGTGGAACAGACTTTGGTTTCCACCCCGCCACCCCCCAACCGCAGCCCTCGCCCGCAGTGCGGAGGAGGAGGCGGCGAACCTGCGAATGCGAGGAGCGCGGAGACGACGAGGAGCAGCAGGCCCAGCGCCGTGGGCTCGAAGCGGCCCGGAGCGTAGCTCTCGATGGCGAGCAGCAGGGACCCTAGGGTGGTGGTGGGGGGGTGGTGGGGGGGGGGGGAGAACGTGGGGGTTGGTGGGGGGGTGGTGGTGGGGGTTGGTGGGGGGATGGTGGGGGGGAGAACGTGGGGGTTGGTGGGGGGGGTGGTGGGGGGATGGTGGGGGGGGAGAACATGGGGGTTGGTGGGGGGGTGGTGGGGGGATGGTGGGGGGGGACGCCAGACACGCGGTGAGAGACGCCCACCGACACACTCCGCCAGTCGCCGGCATTCGCGGACTGCCGGGCTAAGCGCCGCCAGCGAGCACCGGACACCGATACCGATGGTGCTGCTGAATTTAAACTTTTCCGCTTCTCTTCGTTAGCAAGGGTGGCACCACGCACGCACGACCGCCTTTGTCTCCCCAGTGACGGTGTTCAGTACACACCGCAACAGCAAAAGACACAAAGATAGAGATCACCCGTATAACTACAAGAGATTATTGGGGGGGGGGGGGGGGGGGGGGGCAAGCGCTGTGAGCGAAGGACACACGAAGGCCGGCACGGCACACGAGGGAATGGTGTGGCTAGCACCACATCCGGCCGCGTCTGTCTCCCAAAGGCGATGTTTAACACCGCAGAACCGGGCACTCGTTTGAGGCAGAGTCGACCTAGGAGAGGCCCAGGTAGGTTCAACAACTATTCGCCAATTCTAGATTTAAAGCTTTCGTGACTGCTAGGATCCATACTCTTTGGTTCTATTGGGTAAAGTCACGTAGGTGAAAATAAAATAACAAAAAAATCACGACGTTTCGGCCACAACGCAAGCGGCCTTCATCAGGTGAAGGGACGAGACTGTCTGTCTATTCGCCACTGTTTATTGGTGGCGAGCGGAAATCGAACTCGGGTGGTCGGGTTCGCGGCGCAGTGAGCTAACCACACGACACCACCGCTCTCCATAACAGAAGTTTTTGTTGTTGTTGTGGGTTAGATCGCGTAGATACACAAATGTTTCGTTGACGATAATAAAGAGGATACATTTTGGTCGCGAAGGCCTAAGTGTTAAACCACCGCTCTCCAACCACCACCACCAAACACCGCAACCATCAACAACAATAGTTTCTTACCTGCCGAGATGGACATGATTCCGACAGAGTTGTGCAGTTTCGGAGCCATTCTCTCCGCCTTTTGATCGCCCGCCGCACTCAAAACTTCCTAAACGAGTTGATCGATATGATCTTATAAAAAAGCCCGTGTCTTGTTGGCTTCACGAATTACTCGTGAAAGAGCGTGTCCCTGTGCGCGTGCGTGCGTGCGTGTTTAAACCCCGTGCGATTAAAGTTTGCGGCGCTTCAGGTGAGCCGAGCGAGACGGCGGCTTGGTTAGCGGTGTGCAGGCGAGCCACTGATTCTCTCTCTCTCTGCGAGCAGGCACGTCGAAGCCTCCGCCTCTATATCTACACAGAGGAGGGTGGGGGTGGAAGGGAGGTAGGGAGTGGGAGGCAGGACAGGAAGGAAGAGGAAGAAAGAAATGGAAGTTGGTGGTTGGAGGGAGGCGGTGTGGGCGGTGGTGGTGGGGGAGGAGGAGGAAGTGGTGGGGGTGATGGCGGAGGACGGTGGGGAGGGCGAGAGCAGGGGGAGGGAGCAGTGAGTGAAGGGGAGTGGAGGTGTGTGGCTACGTCAGAGGGAGAGGTGAATAAGTCGATGGGATCTGATGTCACCACCAGCCCGACCCCTGACCCACCACTCTCCTCCACTCCTTGCTCGCGTCCACGTGCGAGGAATTTCCCGTGGGATTTCCCACGGGGAATTCCTCGAGTGTCTCATTTGGTGCGTATTTATTTGTGTATTCGCGAGGCCTCGGTGATGCGTCGTGGCGTGGAGCGGTGGTGCCGCGGGTTAGCGCGCTCACATGGAAATGATGAATGAACCCGGCCACCAGAGTTTGATTTATGGCCACGGCTAACATCAGTGGCGAGTGACTGCTGAACCGGCCCTGACTCCCTCCCCGCCACTTCATTATCCCGCACTGACCCAGCGTGGTGAAGTATGGTCAAGTAACCGCCCACGGACCTGTACGGCGTGAGGAGGCCATCATCCAGCAGTGGATTGACAATGGGCCCTAATGATAAACAATAGAACGTATCAAGGACAACGTTCTCTTTCACAATATGCACGTAAAGTATGAATAATAGTAACGTTGCCCGAAATGTCGCGTATTATATACGTTTTATTTCTATTAATGACAAATATGTTGAGATGTTATACATATTGGTGGGGGGGGGGGGGGGGGGGGGGGGGGCGGGGTGTTAATTGTGCTCGTGCACCCGACTGCCAACAGAAGTAAGAGCAGCATCACCAGCATCATCATCAGCATCACCAGCATCATCATCACCAGCATCATCATCAGCAGCATCACCAGCATCATCATCACCAGCATCATCATCACCAGCATCATCACCAGCATCATCATCAGCAGCATCATCACCAGCATCATCACCAGCATCATCATCAGCAGCAGCATCACCAGCATCATCATCAGCAGCAGCATCACCAGCATCATCATCATCACCAGCATCATCACCAGCATCATCATCACCAGCATCATCACCAGCATCATCACCAGCATCATCAGCAGCAGCATCATCACCAGCATCATCACCAGCATCATCAGCAGCAGCACCAGGATCATCATCATCATCAGCAGCAGCAGCATCACCAGCATCATCATCATCATCACCAGCATCATCACCAGCATCATCATCACCAGCATCATCATCATCAGCATCACCAGCATCATTATCATCAGCAGCAGCATCAGCATCATCATCGCCAGATCATCACAGCACTGGTTGAGTTCAGTCGGTTACCGCTCGTGGCCCCTGACGCTGCACATTGCCGGGCTGAAACTGAACTCGGCGCGCTGGTAACCATCACGCCACCGCTCTTCACACAGCCACTGGCTTCACAGTGCTTTGGAGAAATGCTGCGTACAACTGACCGCCGTTTCGCGCGAGAACCCTTCAACAGCGTACAGAGAGGGCAGAGAGGATCAACCGGCTTGACTGACTTTGGGGATCTGGGCTCAAACGTTCAAGTTGTTGAGACCTATTGAGCAATGAACGGTCTTGAATCGGCATGGCAGTTCCGCAGCACATCGTCAGATATTTAAGAGACATCATGAGCAAAACAAATCACCGAATCGCCTGACCGCTGGCTTGATGGACACGCGGCATGAGATTCGTCAACTGTGTATTTGGAGTTTGCATTCTCTCGCTCTCTCTCTCTCTTCCCGTGGTCACGTGGATTTTTCTTCAGGTCCTCCGGCTTCCCCCTCCACATTTAGAATCAAAATGTGCTTTGGCTGCTATAAATGTCCACGTGGTGAGCCACTTTCGTTGAGCTTTCATTTGTGGCCAGGGTGCTTCTGAAAAAAAAGCGAATAGCTCAGTGAGTCCTTACCTGGTAACTAACAAAAACATAGATTTGAAGTTTTCCTGACTGCATGGATCCATATTCTCTGTTTTTTTCCGGGAAAGTCACATAGGTAAAAATAAAATAAGTAAATAAATTGTTTTCATTTTTAATTTATTTTATTTTTTTACCTACGTGACTTTACCGAAAAAAACGAAGAATATAACAAAAACATAGTTTAGTTTTATTTGTATATTGTTTTAAAGTGATTTATTTACCTTCCCTATACTTTGCACTCTCTCTCTCTCCTATTGTTTGTTGTTGTAACGTTCTGACCTGCCCCGCGACTGGACATCCGTGAAAGAAAAAGACAAAGACGAGCTTCATAGCCTATCGGATTCCTCCTCCCAGCACAGTGCCGGATTATCCCAGTAGCACAAGTAGCTACACAAGTAGTAGCTGCACATGTAGTAGCTGCACATGTAGTAGCTGCACATGTAGTAGCGACACATGTAGTAGCTGCACAAGTAGTAGCTGCACATGTAGTAGCCGCACATGTAGTAGCTGCACGTGTAGTATCTGTACATGTAGTAGCTACACATGTAGTAACTGCACATGTAGGATCTGTACATATAGTAGCTACACATGTAGTAGCTACACATGTAGTATCTGTACATGTAGTAGCTACACATGTAGTAGCTACACATGTAGTAGCTGCACATGTAGTATCTGTACATGTAGTAGCTACACAAGTAGTAGCTGCACATGGAGTAGCTGCACATGTAGTAGCTACACTGGTAGTAGCTGCACGTGTAGTAGCTACACATGTAGTAGCTGCGAATGTAGTAGCTGCACATGTAGCTGCACATGTAGTAGCTACACATGTAGTAGCTACACAAGTAGTAGCTACACGTGTAGTAGCTACACGAGTAGTAGCTGCACGTGTAGCAGCTACACATGTAGTAGCTACACATGTAGTAGCTACACATGTAGTAGCTGTACATGTAGTACATCACATGTAGTAGCTACACAAGTAGTAGCTACACATGTAGTAGCTACACATGTAGTAGCTGTACATGTAGTACATCACATGTAGTAGCCACACAAGTAGTAGCTACACAAGTAATAGCTACATATGTAGTAGCTACAAATGCTACGGGCCCCGGACTTTCAAGGGCCCGCGCTAAATGCTTTCAAGCTATCAATTCCGGTTCAGTGATTCTGCGCTTGCTCTATTACTATAGTACTATACCGCCTTCAACTTTTATGAACGACTGGGTGTTTAAGGTTTGCGATTTGTCGTATTATCTGGCCGTATAGCAAATAAAAAAAAATACAATTACTTTACTGTGCAAGTTAATTAAAAAAAAACATATTTAAAGCACATGTTACAGGCCACGCACTAGCTTAATCGGGCACTCATGCTCCCAGCGTAAATATTCCGATGATTCCGATTCTCGCGCGCGCGCACGCGGTTTGGCCTCGGTCGACCGCGGGTCACGCGTGGCTGGTGACGTCACAGCGCTCATCAGGAGACGCGTCACCGCCTCTCCCGGCCGGGCGAACGCGGAAGAACCTCTCGCTCGCTCGCTCGGTTCGGCGATCGGGCTTCAACTGAACCTACGTTCAGCGATAGTTAGCAGCAGTTGCTGTTGTTTGTTGCCGCAACTGTTGTTGCCGCTCGTTGTTAACGTAGCGAGCCAGGGTGTTGAGTGTAGAGAGAGAGAGAAGCGATGTTCGCGCTCAGGGTGGCCGCGTCTGCCTGCCTGCGTGTGCGTGGCGTGCAGGTTGTAACACAACAGCGACAACTCCGCGCTGCCTCTCTCTCTCCACTTGTGTCTGTCTCTCTCTCTGCTGTGTCCTTCTTGCTGTGTCTCCGCTCTGCCCCCGCTGCCTCTCTCTGCTTATCTCTCTCTCTGCCTCTCTCCCCGCTGCCTCTCTCTGCCTCTCTCCCCGCTATCTCTCTCTGCCTATCTCCACGCTCTCTCTCTGGTCTCCGCTGTCTCTCCTCTCTCTGCCTCTCTCCCCGGTGACTCCCCGCTGCCTCTCTCTGCTCTCTCTCTGCCTCTCTCCCCGCTGTCTCTCTGGTCTCCGCTCTCTCTCTGGTCTCCGCTGTATCTCTCAGCTGTGCCTCTCTTTCGTCTCTCCCCCTGCTGTGTCGCTCAGCTATTTCCCTGTGTCTCTTGCGCTGTCTCTCCCCTGTGACCCTCTGCTAACTCTCCACCGTGTCTCTCCGCAGTGCCTCCCCGCTCTGTCTATCTGCAATCCCGTGTCTCCGTCCGTGTCTGTGTATTCTACAGACCGTGCGTGAAGTATATTGGCCTTGTGTGTGTGTCGGCACGGTCAGGTTCTAACCGAGCCTGCGTTGTATCTCTTCGCCGCGTGCCCCTTGCCCCGTGTCCCCACTCCATCGGGCACAGGTAGAGTCTACGGTGGTCACAGGTAGAGTCTACGGTGGTCACAGGTAGAGTCTACGGGGGTCACAGGTAGAGTCCACAGTGGTCACAGGTAGAGTCTACGGTGGTCACAGGTAGAGTCTACGGTGGTCACAGGTAGAGTCTACGGTGGTCACAGGTAGAGTCTACGGGGGTCACAGGTAGAGTCTACGGAGGTCACAGGTAGAGTCTACGGAGGTCACAGGTAGAGTCTACGGGGGTCACAGGTAGAGTCTACGGGGGTCACAGGTAGAGTCTACGGTGGTCACAGGTAGAGTCTACGGGGGTCACAGGTAGAGTCTATGGAGGTCACAGGTAGAGTCTACGGGGGTCACAGGTAGAGTCTACGGAGGTCACAGGTAGAGTCTACGGGGGTCACCAGGCTGCGCTGTCTGCAGTGTGTCGAGAGGGTTGGGTGTTGGTGACTGTGTTGGCACTTGACCAACGCGTGCCCCCCATTAGCTCGGTTGACTGCGCACGGTGCGAAAGAAGTTCAGCGAACATACACATCTGTCCGTCTCCCCAAACCTCCACGTGTCCACCCCCTCTCCGCCCACCCCCCGTGTCTCAGGCTGTCTCGGCGCCGTGTCTCCTCGCGACGCGCCACCGCCTCTGCTCGGCCTCCTCCTCCTCGTCTGCACCCTTCGCTATCGACCGCCTGGACCACCTCGTGCTCACCGTGCGGAGCCTCGACCGCACCATCGCCTTCTACACGCGCGTGCTGGGCATGCACGAGGTCACGTTCAAGGTGCGCGCGCGCGCGTGCACCTAGCCTGGCACAAGCGGTGTGGTGTGGCCGTTAGCGCGCCGCGCTACGAACCCGGCGACCCGGGGTTCTCACGGTCAACTCCATCGACGATTTTTATTTAACCGGTCCTGGGCCTCCTCTAGATCGACTCGGCCTCAAATAAGTACCTGGTGCGGTGTGTAGTCAACATTGTGCCGTCATCAGCGACGAATATTTAAACCGGTTCTGGTGGGGGAGGGGAGCGGGAGGACTAAATTCAGCATTGGATCGATCATGGTCGATGATGATGATGGGAGTGGGGGGGGCTAGGCGATAGGCTATGAAGGTGGGGGGGGTATTTAACTGGTGGGGGGGGGGCACTCGTAGCGAGTAGGGGCGCCGCGGTGGCTAGGAGATGTTAACTACCTCGCCTGGCATACAGGAGGTCATGGGGGTTCGATCCCGACCCTGACGCCTGCTGTACATTTGGATTTTGCGTGTCTCTCTCACCGTGGCCGTGTTGCATTTTCTCCCCTCCACATGTAGAATCGGTACATGCGTTGCTGTAAATTGACTTGGATGCTGTGCATGTCCACATGATAAGCCAGTTCGTTGAGCTATCATTTGTGCAAGCCAGGTCTCTTCTGGAAAAAAAAACAGCGATGTAGCTCAGTGTGGCCTCACCTGGTAAAATAAACAAAAAAATGTTGGAATAGTTTGAGTCGTGTTGGGGCGCCCATGCTATGCGGTGGAGGAGGCAAGTGGATTGATGGAGGCGTTGTTGAGTGGGGTAGAGTGATAACTCGATTACTCCCGCTGGCGGCGGCGGTGCAGGGAGGTCGCAAGGCGCTGGGGTTCGGGAAGCACAAGTTCAACCTCCATGAGGCGGGGAATGAGTTCGAGCCCAAGGCCAGGCTCCCGACTCCCGGCTCCATCGATCTGTGTCTCATCACGCACGCGCCCATCGCCAGCGTCGTGCAGCACCTGCAGGTAACTTCGGCGACGTCTTCCTCCTCGTCACCGTCGTTTTCGTCAACTTCGTCAACTTCGTCAACTTCGTCATCGTTGTTTTAGTTTCTTGTCCTTCCGCTGCACCTCCGATTAGTGCGGTTGGCTACGTGCGAAAGAAGTTCAACGTACATACGTGCATACGCATTGTCATTCCGGTAATAATCATCCTCGTCGTCGTCATTGTGGTCATGACATTTTATAATAATAATTTTCACCATCGTTAATATCATCATCACCATCATCACATTCAACTTCAGCATCATTTCATGCAGCACCTTCAAGTAACACCACCCGTATCACGACACAGGTGTCATGGCTCAACTCACTGAGATCACCTGCATATCACCAAAACGCGTCGTCCCCACGCGTGTATCACGCACACGTGTGTAATGCGTGGGAGTGTAACGCACACGTGTGTAATGTGCGGGAGTGTAACGCACACGTGTGTAATGCGCGGGAGTGTAACGCACACGTGTGTAATGCGTGCGAGTGTAACGCACACGTGTGTAATGCGTGGGAGTGTAACGCACACGTGTGTAATGCGTGGGAGTGTAACGCACACGTGTGCGCACCCACACGCGTGCAACGCGCCAGGAGTGTAACGTGCCGGTGGAGGAGGGTCCCGTGATGCGGACGGGAGCCACGGGCCCCATCGTGTCCGTCTACTTCCGCGACCCCGACCACAACCTCATCGAGGTCTCCAACTACGATCACGGCGACCCCGACTCGTCCGCCTCGTCCGCCTGACACGCCACGCTCGCCACGCTCTCCGACCGTGTCCCCACAACCGCGTCCGACCTCCACCCTCAACCCGTCCCCCCCTCCCTCAACCCGTCCCCGGCTCTGGCCATGACCTTCGTCGAATTTGTCCGATGCACGACGCCGAGATCAATTGTTTTCGCACCTCTAATTCACACTCACGACGATTTGTTTGTCTTGTGTTCTGCAATACGATCACTTTATCTTGCGTGTGGAATCATTGGAAGATTTGTTTGAAAAAATAAATGCAATTGAAAGTGGATTGTGTTCACGCGTTTCTGTTCGTGCTGGCCACCCCACCCCCGCGTGTGCCGTTGCCGGCTTTCATAGGTGCTCGCTAAGAGCACTTGCCCCAACAGCCTGTTGAGGCTACACGGGAGATCTTTGTCTTCGTCATCCCCGTTGGGAGCAGTGACGCAGTGGTTAGCGCACGGCGCTACAAACCCGGCGACGCGAGTTCGATTCCCACTCGCAGCCAATAACGAACATCTGAACCATTCCTGGGCTCCACCCGAGGTTGACTTTGTCTTCAATGAGCGACTGGTGATGTGTGTTGACATCAGCACTGAGGATACAAAGGTCGTGGTGCCAACCGTACCACCCCCTCGTGCGCTGTCCTGACATTAATACTCCCTCGCAAGCACTTGCCCCAACAGCCTGTTGAGGCTACACGGGGGATCTTTGTCGTTTTTTTCTTAATTTTCATAAAAGTGTCATTTAGCCTCACATATCCTTCCTCTAACAGACACAGTATCGTACAGCGCGTATTCTACTTCAGGTATAACACACACTATACACTACACAACTGTACGTGGTTCTAGTGGGTTCCACATATGGATTATAAACTACACAGCGGTTTCATCACAGCAGCAACACGTGAACGTGTTCCGTGTGTGTGCAAACATCTCGGAATTTTATGCTAATTAAAACCACCAGTTCCAGAAGAAATGTCTTGTCAGTCAAGAGCAAATGTACGGGTGTGTTTGAATGTTTTTTTGTGTGTGTGTGTGGTGCATCTCCAACGTGGAGTTGAACGCGTGGCATTCAGCCTCGCCAATATCTCGGCCGTACACCACAACCTGCCAGACGAGGTCTACGGCACTATGCATCAGCTGTTCTCGCCCAACCGGTCGATAGAACACATCGGCTCCACACTGTGTCACTTTAACCATTAACCACTCACGCGCCTCCCCTACTTCTCCCAGATCTCACACAAGCAGTGACGCAGTTCTAATAAGCGCCGTCGCCGTAACCTCCGATTAGCACGGTCGGTTCGGTACGGTGCGAAAGACGTTAAACATACGTACGTAAGTTTAATGCGTCGGCTTTCGCGACCAATATCATCCATAGTAGAGTTTTTTTTGGGTTAGATCGCGTAAATATATAAATGTGTCGTTAAAACCCTCCAACACCCAACACAGCCAACTAGTAAGGGTTGTCACGTAATCAGAACATACCAATTCGTCACTAGTACAGCACACCAGTGTGTTGGAGAGCCAAGCGACAACATTTACAATCTGAGTACGACGTTTCGCCAGTATATTCTTGGTTCTTTCGGTAAAGTCACGTAAAAGGGAAACAATAAAATAATATTGTTTCCCTTCTACGTGACTTTACCGAAAGAACCAAGAATATGAATCCCTGCAGTCACGAAAGCTTTCAATCAAAAGTTTCACCAGTAATTACAACTAGCTTCATCAGGCGACAGACAGATGTGTAACCGTTCATTTGCAGCGCTGCAAATGCACAAATCAACAGGGCATAGAATGGAAAAAATAAATAAAATTGCACGCTAATTGAAACTGCCAAGTAATTTAAACGATAAGTACGTCACCTTATTTACCTTCGTTTTTTGTCACTTCGGTTGATCCAGGCCACTCTTACAAACGAAACTCAATCCTGGCCTCTTGAACTGGTCACCAGCTGGTCACACACGATAATGAATTTGCAACGTCACTCAGTCACTCAACCATCCATCCAATCAGCCACTCACTCGACCACTCCCTCACTGCAACTCGCTGACTCTTGCAAATTAGTCTCATCCTCACTATCCTCTGAGTCCTCACCAGGTTAACCGCAATAAAATGAACCAATATATGTACACACTCTAATATATGTGTAGTGTAATAATTACGCCGGCTGGTGGACGGCAGCGGCAGCTGCGGTGGACAGACAGCGCACACGCTGTGGTGAGCGTGAGGACGGAGCGTGTTGGCAGGGCGGTGGAACTAGGGCAAGGGTCACAAAGGACCCCATCTGGAGGCGCCTGGAACCTGCTGGCGGGTTCGAGAAGGGAGGCTGCGGTCAGGGCGGAGCCAGGCGGCGCTGGGAGCATAAAAGGAGCCGAGGGCTGGTGGCTCGAGGCTGCCGCTTCTCGGAGTGGACTCGTCTCGTCGTCGCTGCCGTCTCCGCTAGAGATTGCGTTGCTGGAAGTTGTTGGCTGTCTCAGTCGGCGCCGTCAGCGTTAGACGGCTCGTGCTGTGTACAGGCTGGGCTGAGCTACTGTGCAGAGTGTGAGGACGAGACCGTGGAAGTTGTTTATAAAGAAGGTGCCTCCTTGAAACTCTGAATCGTTGACACTACATATGTATTACGTAGCTATATTTCCTTTGAATCTGGCTAAACGTCTCATATAATCTCTTTTAAAAACGATACGACGCGCATGATGAGAGACCCTGCATCTTGAAGGAGGGGAGCGAAGGTATTTCATCCTTGTGCCCGAACTCTATGAACAACTTTTTGTTTTACCATGTAAGGCCCACACTGATCTGTAGAGTTTTCCTTTTGAAAAGCGACCTGGCCACAAATGACCGCCTCATGAAGCGGCTTTTTCGTGTGGAAATGTACAGCGGCCAAATGCCCTCAACGCACGTTGATTCTAAATGTGGAGGGGAAAGAACCGGAGGACCACGGAGAAAAATCCACGTGAGCACCGGGAGAGAGAGACACCGCAAACTCCAAATAGACAGCAGGAGACGTCAGGGTCAGGACGGAACCCACGACCTCCTGTAGACAAGACGAGGTAGTTGACATCTCCTAGCCACCGCGGCGCGCCTACTCACTACGAGTGCTCACGGGCTCCTTACAGGAGACGGAGCGGAGAGTCGTGTCAGGGAAAGTTGTAGTCGTGGCAGGGCTGGACCGTACGGACCTGTCCCGTGCCCACACGTCGCACGGCCCCATGAGGCTCGCATGAGGCCCTGCCACTTGCCAAGGGCCCGCGCACGATACGCGTTTTGCCACCGCAAGAATCGGAGCTGACAGAAAATAACAAAAAATAACGAAAAAACTACGACGTTTCGATCACAACATAAAGCGATCGTCATCAGGAGGAAAAAAGAGGGGGAAAGCTGTTGAGGCAGACTGTTTCAAAGGTTTAAAATGGGTGTAGCCCAAGGGTCATAAACGAAGTGGGCGGGGCTAGTTATGTTAATGTGAGAGATGAGCATGTTAATGTGAGATATTGGCATGTTACTCTGAGAGATGAGCATGTTAATGGGAGATCACAGAGCAGCAACATCGAGCTCGGCGAGCGAGGTGGCTTTGTTAATGTGGGAAATTTAACCTGTTAATGTAAAATTAGAGAGCCCAAAATAACAACGAACATCGGAAGGTGGTAGGATGGGAACATCACTGCCAGTTATGACTCATAACGTCCTTCCAACGATTGCTCAGTTTATACCAATCTTCTCGATTTAAGTTGTGTCTGTATATGTGGATGGCTTAATGAACGAATCTTTGTTTGATGGCCAGTGGGTTTGCAAAGTACCTTCGTCTTAGAGAAATAAAGCTTTAAGTTAACGTTCATAGAAAGTAAAGCGGGACCGGGCAGGGACGCGTCATGGTCGAGACGGACAACGGAGTGGCGGCGAAAGGACGGAGCCACACGATCAGATCGCTTTGCAGGTGGCTGGATTTGGATCTTTGCGTCGCGGGACTGCGGGAGATGGCGACCGCTTGCGGAGGCGTTCATTGCAGCAGTGGATAGATCTTGGCCAATGATGGTGCTGATGATGATCATGATGATGATCATCATGATGATCATGATAAGCAATACCGGGTGTGGGTGAGCAGGACCCTAACACGCGTTTCCGAGGTCGAGTTTAATCTGGCTGCGTTACCTGGTGATGTGTCACCATGGAGATAAGCACAGTCAAACACAACCATCCCTGGATGAATTAACTGACCAATGATGCCAAAGACAAACAACACCCCTACATAGCCTTCAACAGCCCCTTGGGGAAGTGCTGTGAGCGAGTAGCACCTGTGAAGGCCGACACACACGAGGGGGTGGGTGGCCAGCACCCTGCACGGCCGCCTTTGTCTCCTGAGTGGCGATGTTTACACACCACTCATTTGAGGTTGAGTCGACCTAGGGGAGGCCCAGGACCGGTTTAGACAATCGTCACTGCTGGTGTTGGTGGCCGTGAGCGGGAATCGAACTCGGGTCGCCAGGTTTGTAGTGCAGCGCGCTAAACGTGACATTACCTCTCCCCCACATATCTACTCACGCATCCACCTACCCACCGCATCACTTACCTACCTACTCACCAACCCCACTCACTCACGCATCCACTCAGCGCCTTCACGTGAATATATCGGGCAAGGATACTGGGCGATGCGTGGGTCGTTCTCAAGGTGCACGTGACCCTGCCAAACGTGCGTAATGGAATTGGCCAAATTTCCCAAGGTAGCAGGACCCTATATTATTGGTTCTTTCGGTAAAGTCACGTAGATAGAAAAAAAAGTAATGAAATAAAAAATTATTACATCTTTTTTTTATTTTTAGTTTTCTATCGACGTGACTTCACAGAAAGAACCAAGAATATTAATTATTGCAGTCACGAATTTTTAGAGTCAAAATTTAGCAGGACCCTCTTGAAAAGAGTCTCGAGAGACTCAGTAAGCTCTGCGTGGATATAAATGAAGGGTACGTGTGCATGCATCTGTAACTTCTTTCGCACCCTACCTAGCCAGCCGTGCTAATCGGAGGCTGCGTCTGCAGCGGTTCAACTCCTGATCCGGGGGGGGGAGGGGAGGGGGTGAGGGTCGATAAAATTAGTACCAATTTTTTCGTGTGGAAAATCAATAGCGCTTGTGCTACGTTATACTCGTCCCCACCCCGCCATAGGAATGTAGAATGCCCACAACTGGCGAGCAACCACCTCGTTGCCCAGTTGGAAGGGACATCGCTTCGCTTCGACCCCCACCACTCTGAACAGGAGGGATGTGGGGCGTGCATGCGGGGGGGGGGGGGGGG